ATTGTAAGACGATAAAAACGGGGGATGAGTACTTTTTATATGTACTACTATTTTATATGGTAAATGGACTATACTTGTATATCACCGTTCTAGTCTTTGACCACTCAAAGCACTTTAACACTACATGCCAGCCTTCTGATAAGTAGACAACCCGCTTTACTGTTGGTATATGTACTGTATTTACAATAAAGTTCTGTGAAACACTAAGTCGATTTGGGCCTATTTGTTTTACAGACCAGGCTCATGTTGGACCCAGGATCATTTAACTTTCATTGTGCCCATATATGTGCACACACAAGGACAGGGAATAAGTTGTCAAAGTGTCTCTGGAAGGTCAGTCATATTCACTTTTTCAGCACAGCAGGGAGGATATGTTGGAGGAGAGGAGGACATCTCTGAAACCTTCAACATTATTTTTCTTAAACACTCACCAATAAACAGTGAATGATGACCACCGTAACATCAAAGAAAAGCAGTCTGTAAAACTTGATTTACTTATTTGCTGCTGGATAACATATGTTATACATATTCTCTACTGAATGCTTGATCTACTCTGTAATGGACAGTCGTTATTAATATTTGTGGGCATGATTGTCGGCACCAGTAGTTATGTTTAGTGTGTGTTTTTTAAGGGAGAGACTGTGTCATCAAAGTCAAATTACAGACTTTGTTAAGCTGGGGCCAATCTGGGGCCAAGTTGGGGCCAGGCTAGGGTTTGAGTGTTTGGCCTGTGCTGGGCTCTAATTTACAGACATACTATGTAAAACTGTAAGCTGTTAGCTCTTGTAAATAAACTCAGAAGGAAAATGAAGACACGTCAACAAACCTGTGGTAAGATGACAGTTTCATCAAGATTAAAATCTTTTGCTTTCCTCTGAAATAAATGTGACAGCACAGGATCCATATGTCACACACTCAACAGTTCATATAGACAGTAACCCCTCTGAGGCTCCAAACAGCCATCCATCCACCCCAGGAGAGATGGACAGAAGTGATTAATACTCGTTTACTGAGCAAAGAGGCTGTTAACTTATTCCCTTCCTCTCATACCACTCAATATCAATTAGAGGAGCTCTCTACTCCTCTCAGCGTTGAGGTGGTCTTCTGGAGAGCTGTTAATGATCCGTCCTGCTTTCAGTGGGCAGGAAATGAAGTGACTGACGGCAACAGGTTGCAACAGTATTTACCTTTCTTTACAATAATCGACCTATATGCATGGAAATTATATGGTGACGACACTATGCTATACTCACCAACTCTATTCCACATCTCATTTGTCTGTTTTAGTGTTGATGTGGTTTAACTTTTCACATATGTGGCTTGGTTTTCAGTGCATAAAAGATTTTTGTGCAGTTACAGGCTGTGACAAGTATAATGTATTTGAAATATACTATAAATGGCCAATTAACTGCTTATATTTTGTTTTTTTTCTCTCTTGTACAGTGTTTATATTATATTAGTATTGATTTGTTATTTCATATGGTTTCTTATACTGTCTTTATCTGTTATTTTTTTTCTCTAGATCTTTTTGGCTGCTGTTATAAGATTGGAATTTCCCATGTGTGGGACTATTAAGGAATATCTTATCTTACCCGCCTCTTCCATACTCCTACTATCAATACTAATTTTGTCTGGCTGTAAATTTAAGGAGGAACAGAGTGGTTACGACATCCTAAAGCGGTGTTACATGGGTTTGTTTAAAATCACAAAGGTCACTTGCTAATAATGCTTTATGCAAAAGGTTAACATTAATGTGCTACAGTGAGTAATGATGTATGTTATATGAAGCTCCATTCACATCTCCGATGTACAAGATTTTGGCTCATTATTACACAACGCTGAAAAGATAAACGCAAAGGTTAACAAGCTCCTGAAATTTCAAAAGGAGATGAATAATGACTGGTTGGAGTGGACAGTGTTTGAGTCTTTCAGTATCTGTGGCCCACATTTATAGTGGGGAGAAGAAGGAAGAACATGTGGGCTTATTAAAGGTACTTGTTATAGAGAGATGATAGGAAATGAGCAGGGGATAGATGCAACAAAAGGTTATTATGAGTCATAAAGACTTCACATGCTGTTAAATTCTTATTGTATTGTTTTCTGTGTTTTTTCATTTTTAAATTAAATAAAACTTAACATAAAAATGTGAACACATGGCACATCTCTTTGTAGGCCAGTCAGTATCAACTCTGTCAATACGAGTCATACCCAGGAGATTTTCATTGCCCTCTCCTGATTTGCTCCTGAAGTTACAATTCTCCTGTATCTCTCCCGATTTATGACAAATGTTCACACCTTTAATTCCTTTTTGCTTCTGGCACTGGACAGCCCTATGACTCTAAAAGTTTTCAGTAAATGTTTTCACCTGAACGACAATACAGCTTAGCTTTTAAGGAAACTGGACTCATGAGACCACGCAAGGATCCATCTTGCCAGACTTGTGTCCAACCACAGTGCTTCGGACCGATCAGTGTCCTTTGCGGAAGTACTTGAAGCTTCCGCATGAGCTACAGGCCTGGTTTAACACTAGGTGCGTGTGAGACGACATGTGTGAGAAGTGACGGTTCACAAAAAGTTAGCATCCCAGCTTCTACACATGGTAAATACTACGCAGGGTATGTAATACACAATGCTTTTTTTTTGACATAACCTGTATTTAAAAGTAGGCAAAATGTTAAATTTAAAATCTAAATTTAATCTAAATGGGAAATGTTGGGAGATACAGTCTGTAAATGTAAGAAATAAAGGTCATATTTTGGAAAAAATCATCAAATTGTGTTATTTTAGCTTTGATATATAGAATATAGCAATTGATTGATTTTCCAAAACATTTATATGTGTGAGCCCATTTAAGGGTTGCATATATTAATTTAGTCCAACCAAATTGCGTGCAGATGGC